GGCCCGTGCCGCCAGGCCCTACATAAGCACGAACTCCTTTGCCAAACCAAAGCTTTGCCGAGTTCACTTGCTGGGCTCCGCAACTTTAAGGCGCGCAGGGTTGCAACGCCGTGACAAAGGTTGCCTAGGACAGCTCAGTCAAGCGGCCGTTGCTGCTAGTCGGAGTGAAAAGCATATGAGCTTGCAGCACAACACATATATGCTTTTATCCTATCGTTCCTGTACTCCGATTGCTGCAAGTCCATCGCGAAGGATGACTGGACTCGAAGTTGTTCACAACACAGCACACGACAGGGGGCAGTGGGCGTTGCTCACATGAACATAGGTTCTCTGGGCATTGCCAAAGGCCCAAGGAATGCATGCAAACCAATTAATTAAAGCTTCCCAAACGGTGGAAGCTGCAGTCCGGGAGCAGAATGCGCAATGATTCTATCGAACATCTGCCCACCAAAAAAGCACGGAACACAAGAAAGGACTGTGCCCAATCAACAAGCTCACCTGCACGGCTCGGGTCCCACTTAAAGCAGGACCTGGAGCCTCGGTTTGGGTGAAGCAGGTCCTCACTGTTGCGCCTGTCGGTGAATTTGAAGTGCGTGCTCAGGGGAGAGGCATCGTTCCGTCCTCACTGTTCGTCCGAAGGAACGGTCAATACCTCAGGATCACATCGCTGCCGCCCATCTGACAACCCAGGGAGCCATGCTGAAAGCCCGCGATAACATGCATGAATGAATGAAAGCCGGCCACCGGCACGTCGTTCACAAAAGACGGCAAGTAGCTGCCATCTTCAAGCTTGACCTAGTCACATCGCAGGACACTTACCTCACTGCTTGCTGTGTCCTGCACGGCACAGATTGCAACTGAGCACTCTGCCCAGCCGTCCTCTTCATCATAGCCAAAGACGACCGAGAACCTGACAGAGAACTCTGCGTAAGACCTAACTCCTGCAACCAATATGAGGCGTCGCAGGATGTACCAAAGCACCCGGCCATGGTGCCACGGGTCGGGTGATATCTTGATCCTCGCGTCCCCCAATCAAGGCAGGGACTGCTGCGAGACATACAGGCCTAGGAATGGTCCTCCATGAATTTCGTGTTGCGGTAGCTCAAGCCATCCGTCCTCAACTGTAGCATGATTCAGCGGTCCATGGTACCGGCCCACAAATCCAGCAAAGGATCGGTGCTTTTAGAAATCTGTTGTCCACAATGAACTCCTGCAACAGTTGCATCTCTCGAATCAGTCTTTGCAGCAGTGCAGCCATCAGAACACTTCAGACGCGCGAGTCCTGCAGCTGTCGTCCATCTGCTGATCTTCGCTGCCGTTGGTGACTTCCCGCCGGAGCCAACGAATCGGCAGTGCCACGCTCTTGATCCTCTTCGGCCCTGAAACAAAACGGCACTCAAGCTTCTCTGCGCATATCCGTCTGTCCCAACTGCATGAAGGGTAGAACACAACCCCGAAAGGAGTTGAACGTCGAGTCTGTAAGTCCCCTGCAAGTTTCCGTATTCGTGTTCCTGCCAGATCCCCAGATCGGACAAGTAGGTTCCAACTGGTGCTGACAGATTTTCGCCTTTGTTCGGATCTCTTTTGCTTTCTGATACTCCTCGAAAACCTTGCATGAATCTTCATGCTCGAAGGCCATTCAGTCAAGGCACTGCAGCGCACCTTGACTTGAAGATCGGCGGACCTGAGCCAGGACATGGCTTTCGTCCATCTGCCTTCCATCCGTGCTAGGCTTCTCACATAGTCGTCAGCTCATTGCTCGCCTCCGCAATGGATCCTCTCGGGATGCGAACACTGATTCAAAGGCTATGAGAGATGAGCCGCAAGCCTCCTGCGTCTGCGACCTCAGCATCGCAAATAATGGAGGATGTCCGTGCTAGATGATTCAAAGCACGTTCGGGTAAGATGGCTGCCTGGTGGAGGATCTCCAGCCTCGGCGCTTTCGCAACGTGAAAGTCGATTGCATGATGAGGCGAGTTGTGTCAATCTCCTAGCAAGCAAACCTGCGTGCTGTATACAGTTGCAAATACATGCACATGTATGTAATCGGAAAGCGACTCATTTGCGGTTCTTGACTTTTCGGTGTTGACGAGATTCCGTTCACTTGGCGCGCTTTGATTAGCTTCAAAGGCGGTGTTTGCCGGGTATGTTCGATGTTTGGTGCACTTTGACTAGCTCGGGACTGGTTCTTACCTTCGGACTCGGCATTTATACTTCACTTTGACCATCACAGCAACGATGGGTGTGGGTGGGTGTGGGTGGGTGTGGGTGGGTGTGGGTGGGTGTGGGGGGGTGTGGGTG